GGTTGGTTTGATTGAAGTTTAAGGGCAAAAGGGAGTAAAGCCAGGATCTTTGGGAGGACCATGGCCGTTGCGTGGAGTGTGACAATTTGGGTGGGAAAGTTTATATTTATGGCATTGGGTGGTTGGGTGGTTTCTTGCTTGACTGTTGCTGATGAAATTGCAGATTCTTTGAGAACAGGAGATATTGGTCCTTTCCATGTTGGTTGATATTCAAGAACCTTGTTGTTATCATGTACAACTATGTGTAAAATAGAAGTGATTCCCAAGTCTATATAGGAAAAGGATGTTTAGTTTTGGTATAAAGTAGGGAATCACTTTTTTCTGTTCTGGTTTTTATCTGGTTTGCCAGTTAGCAGCTGGTTTGTTGTCTTTTTTCTGTTTGTTTTTCGCTTTGGTTAAGTTTTCTTGATGATGTGAATAGTAAACTGGGCGTGCTTGAATCGACTATGATGTGTGATAGTGTTAAGAGTTTACTTGTTTTGTTCTAGCAACAGATAGTTTAGCAGCTGTACCAACTGATTTAATGTTCAAAGTGGTCATTTTTCAACAATGGAATTGCAGCAGATTGGATGTTAGTGAAATTTATTTTCCCTGTTTATGCATATTTTCACATTTTCCTTTCATCGAACAAAAGTCTTTTTTCGGATCGTGGATAAGCATTAGAACTGTCCTTCCCTAAATGTTGAAAATGAGAACTGAGGTTAATGATATCCAGTTTTTTCAGATCCTTCAGGGTTGAGGCAGGGTGGAAAATACTCTTAAACATTAGTTTAGTCAGTTAGAAGCAGATAGCATTAGTGAGTAACAAAACAGAACAATTTGGCATGTGAGGAGAATTTTGAGTAGTTTTTTTTCTTATTTCTCTGAATCACTTGTCCTACTACCATGAATCCTTTCCTTAACCTCCTAATAGTTATCGTGGTAATTATATGTATTTTACGAAATAGCTTAAGCACTTGGAGAGAAAAAAAGAAGAAGCAGGAATCTCTCTTCTTTCACTATTTTGCATGTTTTTCGCATTCACTTTCTCAGATATGAACCATTAAATTTATGCCTGAACACATTGCATTTAGTTATTCCATCACATAGGAAAAGTGACAACCTTTTCAGTTTTACGACCCGACTTTCCCAATCCTCAAATACACAGGAAAAGTGACCACTTTCTCAGTTTTCCCATCTTCTTTCCATGCCCTCGTGAAACCTTCTATCACATCATCAGTCAACAGCTCCACATCCTTCTCTTTAGCCGTTTGGTAAGGTGACCATGACCTTAAGTACGTAAAATACCCCTCCAAATTCATAACCTTCTCCGAATTAAACTGGAACGGCCCATTATGCTCCAGCCCATCTACCGGCCCGAATGGAAAGTCTATGGTCTCATACTTCTCCGCAACGAACCTACGAGCTGGATCCCAGTGTGGAGTCACGCAATTGGTGCAGTATCTCTTTAACACTGAGTCAACTCCAGGGTTGACTTCCGGACTCGTGTAGCACCATGAAGCTATGACCCCATCGGGCTTTTTGAGGGCCCATTTAACATGCTGATAGAATGTCGGGAGATCGAACCAATGCATGGCTTGGGCTATGGTGACTAAATCGACACTTGATTTCGGGCCGATTTTTTCTTGGAGTTCGGATATGGTCATGCATGGAGAGGTATGTTTGTAACTTATGTTTGGTAGTTTGACTGCGTACTCGAGTTGTTTCGGGCTTGTGTCTGTTGCTATAACATTCTTGTAGATATTAGCTAGCTGATAAAAAAGAAATGCGTGTTGAATTAAATTTCAGACATTAACAGGAGAATTGAATGGAGAAAAATCGGAATGGGGTTTTGGGTACTTTTGATACTCTCAGTTACAATTTTAAGTCGATTGAAATACATTACACTTACAAAATATATATATACATTCATGTTAGGTTATGTGATAACTTCACTCAGTTAACGATGATTACAAAGTGGGGAGAGAGAGAGAGAGAGAGAGAGGCTTACAGATCGAGCGGCTTGGCCGCTGCCAGTGCCGACATCCCATGCAAGATCGTGCGAAGGTGTCTTTGTAGCGATGAAATCGAAGAGTTGTTTCGGGTAAGAAGGCCTGCCCACAGAGTACTGTTCTGCTTGCTTGATAAACAAATTTGCCATTTTCAATCTCTGTCTTTCAATTGTGAGTGTTTGTGTGTGGTCTGAAGATGAGGTGGTAAGATCCAAGATCTTTACTATCTATCTATAGCAGTTTATCGGCCCTTCAATAACTCCCACTGATGTTTGGGTTGTTATGATGATTGGATGTTCTTGGGGAGCAAAGCCTTGAAAGGCAACAGCTGGGGAAGGTTTGATTTTATTGGATATGCTGCCTTTTGTGGATTTTGTTATCTGATAATGGTTCTATAGTTTTGACAGGGCTTTACTGGATGATAGTGTTTCAAATTATTCTTGCTTGCCTTTTCTTGTTTACTTTATTTTTATTTGTCCCTTATTCTTTTTTGGGCCATCTCTCTTTTCCCTTTACATTTTTTTTTTTTT